TTAACATCAAATAATAAAGGGTATATATGAACAGTTCTACACTACTGTGGCCAGAAGCCAGCCAGTGCATTCTCTGTACAAGGTAAAAAGTCACCATATGGTTACAAAATTTGTATTCCCCATCCAAAGTTAACATCCCATCCCAATTTTCTGCCACAACAAGCTATTAAATATACTCATTAACTTAATTATAGGATAGGGACTTAACATCAATTAAATGGAAAGAAATGAACACATAATAACCATCTGATTTTTTTGTTTGATGATAATACTGCCTGAAGGAAAATGCAGTTACCTCTGGATTGGTTTACTTTATGATTATCAAATTATCAATTCTTGAGTTTTCTTTATGGTAATGATATACAATATTGAACAAAACAAAAAATGAATAGAGATTTAGAAGGTTACCTGCTCCTACACTGTCCAATTTCTGATGAGAAGATCTAACAAATTCAAAACCTTTTCCACGCCATTAGTACTATTACTAAGATGACTCAAAGCCTCCTTCAATTCCAGTGCCTCCCTGATCCGTGCCTCTCTCAACAAACTCCTGAAAATTCTTTCTCTCAACCCTTCTCCTGGCCTCAAATTCACCTTCACCATGTCCCTTAAAACACTCAAGCCCTCCAGTACCAACCCAGTCCTACAAAACTCACCCACCAAAACCCCATATACCGTCTTCTCAACCATACAAGGAGACTCGGGTCTCAGCATCCAATTGTACACTTTCAAGGCATCTTTTGACCTACCCTTTTTGAGATATGAAGTAATGAGCAGGGTGGTGATGGATGCAAGACATGAGTGTGCCCGTGGGGTGTGCTTGAGGCGGTTCAACAGTGACATGGGTAGCTTTAAATCTGGTTGGAGAGTGAGGGAATGGATGAGAATCGAGAAAGAAAAGGACCTGGGACAAGGGTTTGCCATGAGTGCTGTGGTAGTGAGTTGGATTGCTGGGGTTAGGTGGTTTGAGAGGCAAAGGCGTGGGATTAGGAGGTTGATTTTAGTCAACTCTTCTGGGGTGAATGCCAATTCTTTGGATTTGGAGTTTGCAGAACTGTCATCAGGGATTTTTGATATTAGGGAAGATATACAAGAAAAAGAAACTGAGAAAGATAGTTTTCCTGCTGCATCTGGTGGATGAATGCTTAAGGGTTTTGAGAGGAGGAATTGAAAGTTTTGCCATTTGGTGGACTTCATTGGCTCTCTTGGACGACGGCACGCCGCTGCTATCAGGGTAAAGACTGGCTCAATGCCGTGGAAAATTATTGACCCATAGAAAATATATAAATATCATCTTTCAATACCATCAGTAAGCTTTCGTAGCTCAGTTGGTTAGAGCACCCGTTTAGTAAGCGGGAGGTCTTGAGTTCGACTCTCAACGAAAGCATTTCTGTTTTTCCTTTTTGTTCATTCTCAGTTCAGGTTATTTTTTTAACCAAACGATTTTAGTTTTAAAAACCATTTTAAGAAGCAGTTTGCTGAAATAATTAGCAACAAAAATTACATCCCATAACAACAATCTTCTCTTCAAACTTACAGATAGAAGGGGAAACAGCATTGATTTCAGACATTCTTTTCTCTATACCGCTCTTTCCTTCACTTGCTTATTTTCTTTTGATTGTCACATGATACAGCGTCATCCTTCTATCTCTGTTTACATCTCAACTACTTTTATCTACAAAGAGGGTAAAGAAGGGTTCTGTGAAGGAAGACTTTAGTATACAGATAAGTGTAGCTGTCCTTATTGATTCATATGGCCGAAGAGGAATCAATCCCCTTTCTGGCTTCTGTAAGAGCTGCTATACATGTACATGAAGACTGATATCCAGAAAAGCATGCAATGGAGCTGCGTCTTTGGCGCTGAGGACATTTTGTTTTCCATTCTGCAAATGGTATATATATATATATATATATATATGTATATATATATGTATAATGAGTCACTTCTGGGAACAATAAGGTATGTAACACTGAAGACTGCTTGGTGGGGCTAAATTTTATTTACCTTATGCTGTTGAGGTTTGCCGTAAAGGCTGAGCCTCACTGGGAACTTCGTTGGCATGCTGACTGTCAAGTGGCATGTACTGTGACATGATAGCCATGATCTCCGAGTCCATGTAAGACTGCAAGCAGAATCATGATTACTATAAGTATATTGTTACTCCTCAAATAAGCAATTAAAGAAAAAGATGTCTAGACCATACCCGGAGCCTGTATTTGTAAAAAATGTAACCTGCTAGACCAGCACCGGCCAAAGCTGCTAGGATAACGAAGGTGAGGAACCATGCAAATCTTGACCCACTGCGTTCTGTCAGATCAGATCCATGACAACAGAGATAAGAAAATGAGTACAGGTAAATTTGAACTCATCATTCTGACTGCAAGAGGAATAAACTTATTAATGATCGTAAAAGTAAGTAATGGAGAAGTCTCTTGTTCTCCTTACCAATACAAACATCTTGTTCCCTCATATAGAGATGATCACCCTTACACTTGCACTCATATCCGCCCCAAGTGTTTTTACAGGAGCAACCACTACACTGACAAGCAAGACCTTCCTTGCACTCATTGATATCTGAAGAAATTAATCAGTGGACAGAATTGATGAAATTGTATGGAAAAGGACAGGAACAAGAAGAGTTCTGTGTCAAGTATTAATAATGTAGTTAAATTGCATTTCAGTAGTGACACTGGAAGAAGAAAGCACCTTCACATTTGTGGCCATCCCCGCGAAAGCCTGGTGGGCATTGACAGCCTGTTAACTGGTTTTCCTGCTTTGTGTAAACAAGTGGTTTGTGTAAGAACTACTGAAGTGCAGAAAACAATTGAAAAAGCAAAAAGTTAAGGAATTCATCACTGAACTAAGCAAGCTGAGAAAGTCAACTCATTTCTTGTTTCAGACCAGCAACCCCCATTATTAATTGTACACCTAGCAGGTCCAAAAGCTGAGAATGGAGATGTTGAAGTGTAAGTAGCAATTGTGGGAGAAAATCAATAATATCTCAAAAAGAAAGAGACTGAAAAGAGTGGCAGATCAATAGTTTGTTGAGATTAAGAATATTTTGTAGCGTGAAATAGGCCATTTGTGTCCAGTCTTTAATTTTTTTTGCCACAGGAAAAGAAGCACCTTCACAAAATACATAACCATCTCCTCTGTACTGCACACCCTTCACATTGGGACAGTCACACACTCTTCCCCTAAATGTGTCCTGACAAACCAGTATCTCTTTGTTAGTAAGAAGTATTCACATTATACAACTAAAACTAATAGTATTTTGTAAACTTCCTATGGTGTTACCTTGCAAGCAGTTATATTCGCTTCTTTGTCCTGCCAACAGCCACCATTCCTCTCAAGGCACTCGTTAGTCTCGAGATCTAGCAAAAATAATATTGAGACACACAGTTGAATAAAGCGACTAAAGCATTTGTTCTTTATGTAGTTACAGACATTAGTAAAGAAAGGAAAAAGAACAGGCAAATGAACCTCCACTCAAACAAATTGGAGGATCTGTGGTCTCCTTGAATCCAGCACATATGGCCTTAAGCACGGCTGTTCTCTCCAATTTCCCTTCACAAAAAGCAAATCAAGAACTTCAACATCCTGATGTGATATATTATTGAAGGAAAATGATTGGTACACACTCGGTTCAACACATTTTTTAACACATTTTTAGTTCAACTATTAAAAATATAATATAAATACAATCGATTCAGCTGTGTTCTATATCCTATGTGCATGGTTGTATCTTTAAGCTTAACTGCCTTTAATTATAGACCAAGAAATAATGATTTTTTAACAAGTGTGTTATATAGTGTATTAAATCAGAATATGTACTAATCACTATCCATTATTGTAATGTAAACAGTGATATTTATTGTAAAAGGGGACTTATTCACACTTGTGAAATAGTTAGATAAAGAAAAAATGTGGAAAAGAGCAGGAATGCTATTGTAAAATTGCAAATCACATTCTATGAAACTGGTAGTAGGTAACAAACCTCGATACTGAACGTTATTAACAACCAATGTTGGCAAAATGCTAACATCTCCTCGCGATCCTTGGCCAACCTAATATATTAGACATTGTATCAAAGAAAAGAGTTAACACCATACATCCTTTAAACATCATTTGTTATGTACTCACATTCTTCATATTGACAAACATTTCTTATGTTATATGTAGATAATAATACTTTAGAATCAGCTAAGGGGAGAAGAAATAAACTTATAAACCTGAAGTTCTTGCTCCATTTTAAGAACTGCATTCTCCACATCTGCTTCAGGATCACCCATGCACTTTTTGATTTGCTCGACAGGCAAATCTAGGTAATCAAATAGGAATTAACCAGAGGAAAACAGAAATGGATATGATAAATACGAAAATCTCATTGGGAGCACTTACCAAGTGATTTCATGACATCCTCAGCACATTCTTTGCTGTACGTCTTGTTCTTCATAGAACATCTTATGTGAAAATCTGTCACATAATCCCACCAAACCCAAGACCTGTTGCTCTCGTTGGCAACTCTGTGGACACAGAGCTGCCTCAAGTTCTCAAACACCACATCCTTTCCTTGATATCCAACTCCAAAATCTTGCTCTGGATCAGGGGCACAATACCTCCCATGATTTATGCACTGAGACTTACACTGACTGCTTAATTTAAAGGCTTCAGGGCAATACCAAGTTATGTAATGTGGTGTAAACATAGTATAACCCCCCCTCTCAAGTATCTGGGCATGACCCTTGAAATTCTTTATAAAAGTCATCTGCTCATCACAACGAATCCCACACTCGTCATTGCTGTTTGTCCAGAGCTCATATTCAACTCTCTGGTCAGGATGGGGCATCGACTCTCTCCAGTCTAACCTTAGCACAACATCTTCAGCTTTCTTCAAGGCTTGCTTCAGGCTGTCACCAAAAGACTTTTCTATCAAAGCTGATGGAATCCCAATCTTCTCCACATATCCATCTTCATCAAGGCTCTCCTCAGGAGAATCCATTGTAATTAGAGGTTCATCCATGCTATCAGCCACTAACACCGCTGCAGCACCAGCCTGTTGACCGTGCCATACCTTCAAGGCAAAGTAACATTCTGCACAAGACAATCAGCACACAGCTGATGACGTAGTCCAGAACAACAGAAAAGATAGATCCCTCAACTTTAAATTGTATTTGTTCTATAAACTAAGTTCTATCAGCCAGGATTTGGTTTTTCATAATTTCATTTCTGAATGTGAAGATCTTAAATATGTGCAGGAAAACCTACAGCAAACTGAATTGTATCTATCAAATCCCCTCTAGTAACAGTTCCATATAAAAAAAAATAAAAAATTTGTCAGACTGAGAGGCATGGACCAAAATTAATTTTGTGGATACGAGTGGAATTGAGAAATTTAGTAGCAAGGAATTCAGTATAGAATATTCACAACTAAAGGTAAAACAGAATTGGATAGAATAGTACCTCCACGATCAAGAAGGAGAAAAGTGGGGCGGGAAAACTTAGACTTGAAGCTAACGCCATCAAAGGGTTTACATCCATCGGCACCCTTGTCTGGATACACAACCGATCCCACCATGAACCCTCCATAGTCAGGTACTCCAAAGTTGCCTATGGAACCGTCATGCTTGGAACGCATGCTCAATGGAGATAGCACCGATATGCTACTTTTCTCCACTATAAACCTTGCAAACACAGAGTTCAAGGCAAAAAGACTCAAGACAAGACAGAAGGGTGCTAGTTTCTTAATATTAAGCCTGAACGGAATCATGTTGAAGAACAAAAAACAGGGTGTGATGGTGCAGAGTTTCCTTTGTAAGAAGAGAAGAAATGGAAATGGAAGGTACCTTGATGGGTTTAAGTTTGTAAATGTAACTGTGACGTAAAGGGAAGGACAGGTGACAGGGAAAGGAGGGAAGGTGAAGGACAAAGTCAGCGGAACTAACACACACAGGTTAATCCGATGTGTATTCAACTACCACAATGCTTCAACTGCACAGTATTGTTTTTTAATTTCTTCGTGAAATATTTGGTTGCTTTCCTTCGACCTTAAGGAAAAAAGACTCTCGTTTCTGGTTTGATCTGAGGAAATTTTTGCCCCTTTATAATAGGAAGGCCTCATTTGGTTTGGTTAATTATGTAAATTGTCTTTTAGAATTGTAGTGTTGAAGTAAATTACAAAATAAAAAAATATTAATGCAATTTACAATTCTAAATTTTCATATTTAGAAAACCGACTTAAATTTAATAATTATAATTAAACTATTACTTTTGAAATGAACAAGTTAATGGTAATGATTAAATTTAAATTAATTTTTTAAATATAGAAATTTAAGGTGATAAATTGGGTCAATAATTTTTTAGACAATGTTTTGTTTCAATGCAACCATTTGGAGAGCATTCAGCACCTTTTGCTATAAAAATTTCTCATATGATAAGCCAAACTATGATATTTTTATACTCCTCGTCTCAAAATAAAACATTGTCCTGAGGTAAAAAATTTACAGACAATTTATGCATATACCAATGCTATATTATTCTTAAGAAAAAATAAAAGGAAGAAAAATTTTGATTATAAAATACAAAATTAAAATTAAGAAATAATTATAAAGTTAATAAAAAAATATTTGTTTAAAAATCAAAAAATGAAAAATTAATTTGAGACAAAATTTGAATAAAAAATATAATTATTTAGAAATAAAGTGAGTAACAACAATAAAAAAATAAAAAATAAAGAAGAAGAAGAAGAAGCAAACAATGCTGCGTTGGACCTTCTTATGTCTTGAACTCAATAGAGATAATTGGTAGTGAATTTCCTCAGGGACCACTGAAAACATGTTTTTATAAATAGAGGATAAATGCAATTTCTTTGGGAAGAGTAAGAAAAATACATTAATAGATGCAGTTGTTGTGGGAAGAAGTAAATGGGGAAGGTAAGTAAGAGTGCCTGAGAGGTAAAGGTTAAGAACCATTGAAATCCAGAATTCACATGTCAACGTCAATTGCCGCATATATGGATACATCCATACATTTACATATGGTTTCTTGTTCCTAGTCAACCTACTCCTTCATTGGACAAAATAATTTTTATATATATTTTTTCTTTTTAACACATCATTTCTCTTTATTTTATTTCATATATGTAATAAAATAATGGTTTATAAGATCATTGGTATCCCCATGGTTGATGACCATTGATTCCCTATTAAAATTTTAATTAGAAAAACATTTCCTTTTATTTTTTTTCTGTTCTTTTTTGTTTTTTCAGCTTAAACCATTTTTTATTGTTAACAGTCACAAGTATTAAGAATATTATCCAGTGGGTCTTTTGGGCCATAACCCATAATAACAGGATAAAACCAACTTTTAGTCCCTAACTTTACAAAATTGGTAAGTTTTAACCTATAACCTTATAATATAACACTTTTAACCTTTTACCTTACAAAATTGATAGATTTTAACCCCTCACCTTACAAAATTGGTAGGTTTTAACCCTTCATCTTATACTATGACACTTTTAGCCCATTATCTTTACGAATTGAAGAAAATAACCCTCACTTAACATTAGGTTATAATATTTCTGTTAGTTCTATTAGTTAACTATCAATTCCGTTAACTGACTGTTAGTTCTATTAGCTAACTGCTAGTATCCATTAGCATTCCGTTAATGGAACTAACATATAAAATTGAATTTAAATTTCATGCTTTTTTATAACAGAATGCTAACGGATGTTAACAATCAGTAAACAGAATTAACAAAATGTTATTACCTAATGTTAGATGAAGGCTATTTTCTTCAATTCGTATAGGTGAGGGGTTAAAAATGTCAAAATATAAGGTAAGGGGTTAAAACCTATCAACTTTGTAAGGTGATAGGTTAAAACCTACCAATTTTGTAAGGTGAGAGATTAAAACCTATCAACTTTGTAACGTAAAGGATCGAAAGTGTCATGTTGTAAGATGAGGGGTTAAAACCTATCAATTTTATAAGATAAGAGGCTAAATGTTAGTTTTTACCTAACAACAGAGTCTGAAAATGAAAGAACAAAGAAGCATGATGGTTTTTTTTTTTTTTGAAAAAAAAAAAGTGTTTACACAACCAGATTATAAATTAAAAATATAGTTTATTTTATGAATTTATTAAATTATTTTTTATGATATTTTATTAAAAATATTTTAATAAATTTATAAAATAGATTGTAATTTTGATGTATGGTTTAAATTATAATACATGAATCTTTTCTGTAATGTATGTGTAGTTTTAATGGGCCGGCCGAAAATTTTGGATTGGACTTAGTCTACAGATGATGAATTAGTTATTGGACTGGACAGTTTGGACTCAATTCTCAATAGTAGTCTACATTCTACAAAGTTCGGCACCATTATTTAGGGCTCGTTTATTTAGTAACGTTATCTTCCCTTTTTTTTTTTTTTTCCTTCGGTTTTGGTTGGTAAATTTGAACAATTGAAATTGATAATTAAAAACTAAAATTAACAAGTTGTAAAGTATAAAATTTCAAAATTGATAAAAAAAAGAGTTAAAATTGTATAGTGGATTAATTTTTTAATTTTAATTTATTGTTATCTAAAATTTGACAACAAGAGAAAAAAAATACAACTAAACAGTTTTAGGGTGTGTTTGAAATTGCTGTAAAGTGCT